GCGTTGAGCACGCAGAGAAGAGGAAAGCGCCAGCCGAGTCCGCCAATGACCGGTGCGTGACCAACATCGGTGAACTGAACGACCAGCAGCCCTGTTTGAGATTAGGGTGGATGCGGACGTCCGGGTTAGATCTGCTGGGCTACTCAGACTGCCGAGTTCGCAATGAAGCTCCTAACGCACCGATCAGGAGAATGTGAATGATGGCCCAGGTACCAAAGATCCAGGGCTCAGGAGTCAGATAGGATGGATGCGCGCCAGCGCCCCACCTCGAGCCGGGTGCGACGCCTGGCAAGGGAGGGAGGGGGCAGGGGTGTGGGTCTTCAGCAGAAGCTTCGAACGCATGCGAAGGCGAAGCGGCGCTGCTTGACTCACTGCCGTAGCTGTTGCCTCCGGTGAAGAGGACAAAAGCAGCAATGTTGATCAGTTTTTGAGCGACTGGTGAAAAGGGGTTCGAGAGAGAGCGAAAAGGTCAGTGTCTGGGAGCTCGTAGCGCATATGCGGAGCAAAGCCCCTCCACTTACGAGAATCGTTCCACGCCATGGTTGCTGCTAAGATTGTGGGAGCAGATGCAGAGTAGTGAAGGTTGCCGTTCGAGGTGGGAACTCAAGTCAAAGGACATTCACGCGTTTTGTATGGTGGAAGGAAAGCAAGGCGTGGACGAGAGACAGCGTGGGGCTCAAAAGGTGAAGAAAAGCGTGGCTGGCTGCATTTCTGCTTCGGCTCCACACCATGCACCCATCCCGCTTGTCGGCAACACCATGACGCAACGACTTGTGGTGTGCGTGCGCGCGCACAGCGAGAGCACGCGCACATCGTGATTCTAACGGGCACCGCCTCAGTCACGAGGGACCCTGCCATGCGGCACAATAAGCCACGTTCCTGCGCGTAGTTCGCAGTAGGGCACTCTGGCTGAGCGGACAGCTCTGCAGTCTGCACCATGCACGCATGCGGGTCGATGCACCTGCTCGTGTGACCTTGCCATGGATTCGAAGACCGTCGATCTCTTGCTCGTCGGCCCAGTCTGACTGTTGTTCGCGATTTGTGATGGTTCTTTTGTGAATTTGATTATCGAAGTTCGAGAGGAGGAGCGGGCGAGCTCACAGTCGTGAGTGTCTGCCTGAACTACGAGGGACATGTTGTGTGTGGTGATGCAGACTGATGAGAGTGTCATCCCTGCTGAGCTAGTAGCTGTCACTCGCAGCTAGATGATGACTGGCTCGGCCGAAGCAGTCTTTGATCCAATGGATGCCCCAGCAGCCTTGAAGGTGATTCGAAGGCACGAGACGGCACTCAGGAGAGTCGAGTGCCGGAAAGAGGCGCCAAATCCTCGATGCTTCAAGTCTGATGAGTGAGTGAAAATAGCTTCGATTCTTGAGTATTTGACCTGCAGCCGGACAATAATGACGTGAGCTGAAGATCATGACGTTACATTATGAGATCATTCAGATTGAGTGATTCTTGATCATTAGCCAAGACCCTTGCTTGTTGTACATGTGTGACTGTTGTCAACATTCTTGATTGTTGTGATCCAATGGCCGCTGCGATGTGGGAGCTAGCCTGCCTTCGCTCTGCCAAGAGATCTCCCTTGCTCGCCCATATGCATGTGTACGATCTGTCTTTACTCTTGGCTTCACTCTTGAACCTCAATTTAAGAAAGATGTGAGCCAAGGTTCAAATCATAATCAAGGATGGAGGTGCAAGTGTCTCGCTGTCTCGACCTCGGCCTCAGCCTACGACTCTGACTGATCACGACAAGATGGACACGCTGCCCATGCAGCATAAAGCATACACATCATACATGTACGGCCACAGCTGCAGCGGCAAGATGCTGCAATTTCGCAAATAACACTGGCCAACACCGCCTCACTATACCCACTACCCGCCTGGTTTCAGCTAGGCTGTCTCACCGGGTTTTCAAACAGCCCTGCATGCGTATATCACTCCGAGCCAGATCCAACACAATTACAGCAGTTCTGATCGAGCCTGAAGCGTCATTTTACATTCTTTTGCTTGCGAGGTCCCCGTTTTGACGCGAGAGCTGCCAGTCTATAACTCGCACAGTGACCGCTAGATCACGTCCACGTTCGGACGACGCATGGAGCAACGGGTCTGTCTTTCAGAAAGAACCCGCACCAGCAGAGACAGAGGCCCGCCACAACGGTCCAGGAGGGCAGCTGTGTGTCAGAAGCAGGCCTCTTCGCGACGCATATATGGAACGGATGAAGGCATGTTTCAGCGTGAGTATAGCTATCGCGGGTCATCTTGGTGTTTGGCGTGGACGCTGATCCATCCGAGTCACTGATGGTATTTAAGACTGCATAATCACGAATAGCATCACGGATCCAACACGAGATGGATCACACACCTTCAAATTCAAAATTCACATTCGAGAGTCACAGTGCCACAGGGACTAGCCGGCCGAGAGACTTTTTCTTCATTGGGTCGAAGCTCTCATCCCTCTCCTTCACGACCATTTGTGATTCAGCAGCGTCCATTGATTCTGCACGCGTGCTGCGCGGTGCACAGTACCAATTCCGCGCTTCGGCAACCGG